ATTAAACTTCAAAAGGCTATGATTTCATTAAATAAACACGAGCGCTGCATGTTTCAGAGTCCGGTGCTGCGCTGCTTTGTTTACTGCCATTACCGGTGAAACAGTTATATTTCTGCCATTCCGAAAGCGCCTCCTGCTGGCAGAGAATGAATGTGCATTTACAGTAAGCCTGTTTAATTAAAGGCTTTCTTAAAGGCTATGTCGATTAGCATTGTATTATTATATACTTTATTATAATAAAAATTATAATAAGACGAACACAGATAAACCATATGTTGTCGTAGTCGTGTGTTTATTAGTGATGTTGAATCAGTGAAAGCAGTTAAATCTTCTGTTTATTCAGCAACCGCTATAGTCATTTCCTGGAGTTCTTCTGCGAGGTGTATTTGGAGTTTCAGCGCGAGAGCGCCCTCTGACCTTCGGATGGAGATGGAGACTTTCGGACTGCTGATCACAGAAACGTGCTTCACTGAAAGATATGCATGACAATCGCAGCTTCTGCCTAATCGCGATTTATCACCTTTGCGATTTAATTTTGATTAATCGTGCAGCCCTAACTGTTTGGGTAGAAGTCTGCTGCAGATCTCACCCCAGTGCAGGCTCGGCAGAAGTGCGCATTGAGGGCACATAGCGGCCGCAAAGGGGGCGCTCGTGAGCACCTTTCTGAAAGCTAAAATGATGAATGGGATACCCTATGGCCTCGTGGACTTAACAGACACACGCATGGGGCAGCCATTGTAAGTCCGCAAGACCGCAAATTCACGTGAAGTGTGCCATTTGGGACAGGGCCAATGAGGCAAACTCCACAGCAGACTTCTACCCAAAGCGGCATTACGGCATTAAGAGGAAGATCTTAAATTTGAGCTTAAAAATCCTGCAGAAACCCTGCTTAATTGAATTTATGATTTCTATTTGTTTCATACTAGTGCAATTATCTTTTTATTTCAGTAATTAGTGCTCAGCCTTAGTACATAATACTAACAGAAGAACACATTGGAGCAGTGTTCAAAACATCAGTAAAAAATATTAGGATGTGTTTTTTTTTTTGGTCATCTCTGTTGATATGGTTTTGCTCTCCAGCTTGATGAGGAGTTCCTGGGCAGACAGGAAGCTCAAGCCCAGTTGTTGAAGAAAGAGGAGAAGATCAATGAGCTGGAAGCTGAAATTCAGTCCTATAGAAACCAGGTACCTATGCTTCTTTTCTTCTTTATTTTGACCACTTCTGTCACTGTTTTTGATGGCATTGCTGCTGGGATTCCTTTCTTTCTATTCTCACTGTTTTATTTTGGTCTCCCCTTCTGGATTCTCTGCGTTTAATTCTTTTTCTTTCTGATATTGCTTTGTTTCGGTTTTCGAGACTGACTGTTTGGTTAGTTGATATAAAATTTTGAGAATTGAAGATCACGACACCAAAGAAGGCTGACCAGTACAAGTAATCAGTGCCCCGCATTTCAATTAAATTGGGAGCTTTTTCCTGCATCCTGCTAGAAGTAATCAGTGCCCCGTGTTTCAATAAAAAAAAGCTAAAATGTGATGAGTTTTTAAAAATCCATTTGCGCCGTCGCCATGTTCTAGCTAGCCAACAAACACAGAAGGGTTTTTTCAGCTGATGACGACTGGGTTAGCGGAGCAAAGGAATCAGTGTGGACCTCAAAAGTCGTTAAATACAGCTATACCAGCCAGGATGACTTCTAGACACTTACTGGATGATAACATTCTAATCAAACCTGCCAGATCCTACAAGTCCAAGATGCACTGAATAATTTAGTCTAAAATGTGTTTTTTACCTACTAGCCTGTTATTCAGTTCATTATATTTAGTAGAATGAATAGGTCCCATAGAGTAAATGACATCACTCGAATGCCCTTGCACAGTTAAAATAAATTACGGTTGTCGTGAAGAAATTGAAAATGAAATGAAAAGTGTCGTTTGCGGAATTAAATTTAGATCTACTCATCTTGCGTCATATTTCTTTTTATGCGTTTTTGCAGCATTGTGTTTTATAACCAATCACACACAAATCTGTTGAGCTTATGAATGCAGTGACAAATCAGAGAAACGCTGGAGTTTTGTTCAGTGCAAACTCGCTGACTGAATTCTGCACTCTTGCAAATTCTCTCATCATAAAACAACAAAGTGCAGATGTACATATGATGTAAGTAAGATTATTTCACAGTGTAGACAGCTTCATTGATTATAACGGGAGTTGTTTTGAAAGCGCATAAACTCACGCTAAACTGAAGTCAATGATAATGTTAGAATATTTGATAATGTTCTTTGCTCAAATATTTTATGACATGACACCTATATCTGGTACTTGCCTTAAAGATGGGCTTAGAATCAGAATCAGAAGGAGCTTTATTACCAATTATGGTTACACACACAAGAAATTTGACTTGGCAACAAGAGCTTCCAGTGCAGTAGAAAGTACACACATAGTGCAAACATACATGATAGTGCAGACATACATAGAATTACACAGTAAAGATGAAATAACACTAATATAAGAAAAACAGAAAAATAAATAATGCACTATATATAAAAATAGAAATATATAGAAAAAATATAATGGTTTAAATGAATGTAAAGATATGTTATTTACAAGTGTAGCGTTTATGTAGTTTACAGTATACAGTTTCCAGATACTATGTATAAAAGTGTCAGTTATGATGGACAGTGTGTAGTTGTGAACTTCTTAATTGTTGGCTGAATATGGCCTGCGGGAAAAATCTGTTCTTATGCCTGGCTGTTCTGGTGGTCGGTGCTCTGTAGCGCCGGCAACAGGCAACAGTTTGAAAAGAGAGTGGGATGGGTGTGAGGGGTCCAGAGTAGAGGTCTAAACCCGAGGTTCGACCCGAGACCCGAGCGGGTTCGGGTCCAAAACTTCGACGAGTACTTTGGACATGGGTCAGGTTCGGTATTAGTGGCCTCGGGTCTCGGGGTAATTTAAAATAAACATGCTTTTTCCAAATGGACCTGACTAGACATGAATTCTTTTAAACTATCCCGAGTGCTTTCACTTTCATGTTAAGTGAGGAATGCACATAGAAAAGAAGCATACGTTTGTAACCTCGCACACAGAAATCATCTTATAGATATGAGATCCATCAGGAAAATCCACTCGCTTCATTACGCTGCGTATTGCAGGGCTTTTCTTTTTTTGTGTGCAGAAGCCTTTCGCCGGAGATTAGGTTGCAGACAACACTAGTGACGCCATGAATTATGCTATGATCATGAGTTATGCTTTAGATTAGCTATGAAAAGCTATCGATTTAATTTTTATCAAACTATCACGTTTATTTTTCAAATCCACTGGTCACAACTGAAAGCCGAACTCAGAAATAGCTTGTATCCATCAGGCAGGCAATAATATAAAGTAACAATAAATGTTAAATAAATCAAAAGAAGCAGCCAAATCAGTCAGCAGTACACCGCGATTTTTCTTTACTGACTGCAGGGCTGCAGGCTGTGCACACGTCAATGCCATTTACAGTCGGGTTCGAAAATAAATGCCGTCGGTCTCTGGTCTAATTTCATCGGGTCGGGTATTTCTTTAAAAATATATATATATATTTATGCACGTTGAAGTGATTCGGGTCGGGTACAGAGTTTAGGACCTGAGAAGACCTCTAATTTTCAGTGCTTCATGGTAGTGGAAGGAGCTAAAGTGTCACTTTGGTGTGATTTTCTTAATTCGATTCCCAGATTGGAGATTTCTTTGCAGAATTATGGGTAATGGAGTTTTTCCACCAGGAATTCCACTATTAAACATTTAAAAACTATTGAAACAATGCTGGCAAATGGCTTCAACAAAAGCAGGTACCATGGATTGATTACATGGCACTCTATAGTCTACATGGCCTTCTCTCTAAAGCTAGTAAGCTTCCTATCTAGACAAAGTAATATTGTCTAAGCAGACACCTCACTAGATTGAGAGGACTGAGGCTGCAATATTGTCTAGGTAGGTTGCACAAGGTTTTTAAACTATGATGCCTAAAAATACAACCTTGATAGGCAGCACATCGAGTTTTCAGACTGTGACGCCCTTACTGATTTTACAGGCAAGCCACACACTAGTTGAATGAATGAATGAATGCTGTCTAGTTAGGCAACAATTTAGTTTTTAAGACCAGTATTTACAAGAAAGATGCAATCAATCAATCCTATTTTAGGTGGAAATGTGACTTACAATAGTTTGGTCTTGATTTTGACAATCTTCTGGTTGAACTGCTGAGCCTGTTTGATCAGTCCCAGAGACTCCAGCGTTTCAGGATCTAATCTCTCCTTCAGCATACCATCAGGAACACAGATCTGAAAACGACAGACAACAATGCCTTTAATTAGACACTCTTCACCAACACTGCTGTGGAAGCTCTATCAGGAGGATAAGACCAGTATTAAATTAATCAAAACGCTGGAATAATATCTCTGCATCCATCAGCGTAGCACTGCCCACATCCCACCTCAATGGCATTCAGCTACACTTACATAAGACATTAATAACACTGCATAACAAGCCCGTATTTGCATACTAATCAGCCGTACAGTGGTTTAAATGAAAAGAAGAGAGCAGGCACACTGCAGGTCTTGATGAGTCACCCTGACTGCCATTACAAATGCATCGTGTTCTGCCACAACAAAGATGTGAAACATGCTCCGGTTTGAGGCCTAGCTCAAATACCCACAGCCGCTGTGAATGCGTTTCGTTTCATTCCAGCACAGTGCTGGAGGTTCGGTCAGGGGAGGAGAATTTTTCACTAGAGGACAGAATTTGGGCCACTCAATCCTCTAATGCAGCTAATCTTCAGAGTCAGGGGATCGGCCACCCACTTACGTATGCATGCAAAAAAAAGCATATCGTCAACCGCAGTGTGTGCTGTAGTGCTGGAGAGATGGGCGATGTGTCTCAAAGCGCTTTACTGCCACACAGTGGTCATGAAGACAATCACACGCTGCTCTACTCACCAAACAGGCTCCAACCAGCTGGGTAAAATGATCTCGCTTGTGTTTCTCCTCCAAACAGCCAGTCTCGATATCTGCAAAATCAACAATTACACATGCACGTCACGTGAATCACTAAAGTCAGATGTACAAACTATCACGTTTATTTTTCAAATCCACTGGTCACAATTGAAAGCCGAGCTCAGAAATAACTTGTATCCATCAGGCAGGCACTAATATAAAGTAGCCTAATAATAAATTGAATAAATGTTAAATAAATCAAAGTAATGGAGAAGCGGCCAAATCAGTCAGCAGGACACCGGGATTTTTCCTGACTGACTGCAGGGCTGCAGGCTGTACACACGTCAATGCCGTTTACGTTCGATTCCAGTCGGGTTCGAAATTAAATGCCGTCGGGTCGGACTCGGGTCTAATTTCATGGGGTCTGTTTCGGGTCGGGTTTTTCTTTAAAAAAAAATTTATGCACGTCGGTTTGGGGTAAGAAGTGATTCGGGTCGATTTGGGTCGGGTACAGATTTTAGGACCCAAGAAGACCTCTAGTCCAGAGTGATTTTCTTAGCCCTTTTCCTTACTCTGGAAGTGTAAAGATCTTGGGCAGGGGGAACCAATAATCCTCTCAGCAGTCCTGACTGTCCGTTGTAGTCTCTTGATGTCTGATTTAGTAGCTGAGTCAAACCAGACAGTTATGGATGTACACAGGACAGACTCACAGACTCAGTGATGGCCAAGTAGAACTGTTTCAGCAGCTCCTGTGGCAGGTTGAACTTCCTCAGCTGGCAAAGGGAATATGTACAGTCCTGAGAAATGTTATATGTTGTTCAGGTGGGATATGGACTGGGGGAAAAAACTGTTCTTGTGTCTGTCTGTTTTGGTGCACAGTGCTCTCTAGCGCTGGCCAGAGGGCAACAGTTCAAAGAGGAAGTGTACTGGATGTGATTTTTTGAGCCCTTTGTCTCACTCTGGAGGTGTAAAGATCTTGGAGGTTGGGCAAGGGGGCACCAATAATCCTCTCAGCAGTCCCGACTGTCCGTTGTAGTCTCCTGATGCCTGATTTGGTAGCTGAGCCAAGCCAAACAGTTATAGATGAACACAGGACAGACTCAATGATGGCTGAGTAGAACTGTTTGAGCAACTCCTGTGGCAGGTTGAACTTCCTCAGCTGGTGAAGGAAATACAGCCTCTGCTGGGCCTTTTTCACAATAGAGTCAATGTGAATGTCCCAC